CTGTTCCTATACTCGTTACATTATCTATCATTGTTCTTATGTCCATCTTCTTTTAAATTACTAAAAACACTTTTAATGTTTTAGATAATTAAAAAACTTGTATTAACTTAATCTTGGTTATTAATTTCGTAATTTATTTATAGAAAAAATAGATTTCATAATTTTTTACTCTTTTATGTTATTATTTAATCTTTATTTAATTAGTTATTTGTTACTTTTATTTCATATTTATACAATTTTAATTTCTTTCTTAATATTTTATATTACAGAGAAAGTTTGTATATTTTTGTATTGAATACTTGATAATTTATTTGATATATTTTTTATTTTTTGAAAAAATTATTTAGTTAATATTTTGAACAATAAAGAGACAGATAAGAATGGAAGTTTAACTATGCCCGTTATTATAAAAATGAAACAAAAACTTTATGCCTAAAGATAAAGGTAATAGAGATTGAATTTTTATTTTGAAAATATAGATATTGAAACCTGCACGCCCTCCAATATCATCCCATACTCTATTTGAGCATGTATCATATTGGCTTATTTATAATAATTAAATTTTGTTTACATTAATTACATAACAAAATCGATTTTGTTTTATGTTTTACTTTTTATAACGGTGAGATATATATTGATTTAGAATTATATAATTTGCGATGTAGAAAGTATAATATATGGACAGAAGTAGAATTGTTATTTACAAACGGAGTCAAATACAAACTATTTATACAAGTATTAATGTATTAATATGTTGACAGAAATAGAATTGGTGTTTACCGAAGGTTTAGGATGTAATAGCTTTGTGAGAATATCCACTAATTGATACCACCAGAAACCAAAATTAATAAAGAGTAAAGAAAATAAAGAGAATAAAATGAAAATGATAAAATAAGAATGAAGTTGAATAATTTGTTTTATTGGAATGGATGAATAATATAAGAAAAATAAGTGAAGACCCGAAAAATAAATATATAAATCTATCCGTAACATCCAATACCCGAAAAATAGATATTTATAAGATTAGAGATTACATATATAATATGTTTTTGGTGAATTAAAATTAAATTGTTAACTATTTTCTACAATTAGAATTTGGACTCAAATCAAGTTTAGAATATGCTTAGTTAATGATGGGTCAAATTAAGTTTATTTGTGACATAAAATTTTATTTTTCTTTTACTTTATTACAAAGAGACAAAACTCTAAAATAAAAATGATATTAAAACATTTCGAAACATTTTTTAGTGTAATAATGGCTAACAGAGAGTCTCCTGTATAAATAAAAAAAAATTACCAAAAAAGTAAAACAAATATTAAAAAGTGTGTATAAAAGTATCTACTCAGAACTAAACGAATAAAGCAGTGGATATCTCTGGTAATAGTTTATGTGCGACAACCATTTATAAACAATCCTATCCGTGGAACGTGTTCGGGTGAGCAAAGGCAACAACGCAGAAATGGATGCATTGAAATATTCGAAGTTGACTCTTAGGTCTGCAAAACGTTGTGGAATTGTTTGCACTAATGGGTCCGTATTAGACTCTACAAGTCAAGCAATGCCGTCACACATGCATGGCGTCAATGGCGGGGCAAAAGGCTTATCACAGTATTATAAGAATGAGCAGATAGGTAGCATGGTATTGAGTGAACATAATTTAGTGAAACTTGAGTTTCTCATAAATATACCTTCTATTTATTACCTCTATTTCCAAACCATGCATTTTTTGCTTTACAATTTCCATCTTTTTATTTATGCTTTGCTTTTCATAGGCTCTGTTTTAGAATTGGAATCCGCATCGTCTACACCATCGCAGCTTCAGTTGGAAGCAAACGCTATAATCAATAGTGGATGGTGGAATTTGTCGCACTCAGATTCAAATCATATCTGTTCATGGATTGGTATACATTGCAATGATGCTGGAAGTGTAACTCGTATCACATATATGTATCATGAAGGGCCTATTCAATTGGCAACACTAAACCTCTCTGCTTTCAAGAACTTGGAACATCTTGAGGTCGTCGAATCTAGTCTAAACGGGACTATTCCATATGAAATTGGAAATCTTTCAAAACTCACTTATCTTGATTTATCCCACAATTCTTTTCAAGATAAAATACCTCCATCACTAGGAAATCTTTCAAAACTCACTTATCTTGATTTATCCCACAATTCTCTTCAAGGTAAAATACCTCCATCACTAGGAAATCTTTCAGAACTCACTGATCTTGATTTATCCCACAATTCTCTTCAAGGTCAAATACCTTCATCACTAGGATTTCTAACCAATCTATTGACCCTAATAATCTCTAACAACAAAATCAATGGAACCTTTCCCATTTCACTTTCAAACATCATGCACCTTCAAAATATTGACATTTCACACAATCTACTAACCGGTTCCCTTGAACCTTTCTTAGTTGGACATTTTCCATTCTTGTATGGTCTGGATCTAAGCTACAATTGTCTTTCCGGAGCGATTCCTATGCCTCTTGATAGTATCTATGACATGAACCTTTCCTTCAATAATTTGAGTGGTCCTATTCCAAGTGGTGTAAATCCATATGCGCTAATTGGGAACAAGGATGTATGCAGCACCAATACAAATATACAAATGGAATACCAATTTCAGCCTTGTTCAGTCAACCAGAAGAAACGAAGGCAGCTGGTCATAATTCTTTCCATCACCATATTTCTAATCATGGCCTTCTTACTACTTTTATATCTGAGGTACAGCCGCATTGCAATCAAGAAAAAACAAGCAAAGATAACTGAAACATCTAAGAATGGGGACATGTTCTGCATATGGAACTACGACGGAAGCATAGCCTACGAAGACATCATTACAGTAACTGAAGACTTTGATCTTAAATATTGTATCGGAACAGGTGCGTATGGAAGTGTCTACAAGGCTCAATTACCAAGTGGAAAGATTGTTGCGGTGAAGAAACTCCATGGCTTTGAATCAGAGGTCCCCACTTTTGATGAGAGTTTCAGAAACGAAGCCAAAGTATTATCGGAAATAAAGCACCGACATATAGTCAAGCTCCATGGATTCTGCTTGCACAAAAGAATAATGTTTTTGATTTATGAGTACATGGAGAAAGGAAGCTTGCTTTCTGTGTTGCTTTATGACATGGAAGCAATAGAATTTGACTGGAAAAAGAGGGTTAACACAGTGAAAGGAACTGCACATGCTCTCTCATATCTCCATCATGATTGTGTCCCTCCAATAGTGCATAGAGACATATCAGCAAGCAACGTCTTGCTTAACTCCAAGTGGGAGCCCATTGTTTCCGACTTTGGCACTGCCCGATTTCTAAACTTTGATTCATCCAATCGAACTATAGTTGCTGGAACCATTGGATACATAGCACCTGGTAAATCGTTTATATGTTCCTCTACTTCTATTTATTTATTGTTTGATGCATATCAAGCCTAATCAAGATCCATATAACAAACAAATGGACTAGTTTTCTCCACTTGTATTTTCAATTATTTTTCTTCTGATCTTTCAATGCTATGTTGCAAAAATGCAGAGCTTGCGTATACAATGGTTGTGAATGAAAAGTGTGATGTGTATAGCTTCGGAGTGGTGGCATTGGAGACTTTGATGGGAAAACATCCTAAGGAAATACTCTTATCACTTCAATCAACTTCTACTCACGATGACATCAAATTATGTGAAATATTGGATCAACGCCTCCCACACCCAACATTTTCAATTTTACAAGACATAGTTGTTGTTGCCATTGTGACTCTTGCATGCTTAAATCCCAACCCTTGCTCTCGTCCAACAATGAAACACATCTCTCAATGTTTCCTTAGTCAGTTCACACCACTAAGCATTCCTTTACATCATATTTCGTTGCAACAACTCATGAGTCAAGAACTCAGACACTCCTTGAAATTGTGAACTATCTGAAATTGTTGAGCAAAATTTTAGATTGTAACAACTTTCAATGAAAATTCTGTGGTTGTTTATCACATTAATAGCTAGAAAAAAATTTCAAAGTTATGTTTATTTAAACTAGTTTTATGTTTGATGTGGATTATAACATTTTTTTAAACATGTCATCAAGAAATAAAATTAAATTATTTTTTTAAAAACGGTAAATAAATTATAATACTTAGACTTAGTTTACTTTCATGTTAACTATTCTATAATTATTTAGGTCTATTTAAGGAGTTTAAAAATAGTAAAATCTTATAAAAATTTGTAATGAATTTATTCAATTTTTCTCTGATAAACTAAAATATTTAAATCATAAGTCATACATAAATACTCGATTCTATTCATTTTGAAATCTTAGTTCAAATTCTTTGATATATGATAAAGATGTCTCTTTTTTTCTTTTGTAAGGTTGTTTTTTTTTACTATTATAACTGGAATAGTCTTTCTCATAAAAAAAGAAATTAGATTTTTTCCTTTTTTTTTAAAAAGGGAATCTAAATTTTTTCATCTTCCTATATAATTTATATGTATGGGAATATGAATTTGTTTGTTTAAAATTATAAAATTGTGTAGTGATATGTAGTAAAACAATTTCATTATACGATTACAATTTATAGTTAAACTTTTGAGCTATTATTATATTAAAATGAAATATGTATCATGTGTCATATTGTGCAATATCACCCTTTATATAATAAATAAAATATTAATGCGAAAATTTTTAAGTAGAAACACATATTAATATGGACAACTCAAAAGACAGACATATTTAAAAGTTATTATGGAACTAAAAAGAATTAAATTAAATTTAAAACTTTTTAAATAAAAGTAACATTGGAAATATAAATAAAATGAAAATGAAAACATAGCGTTAAAAAATAAACATTAAATATAATTTAACCTTACAAAATGGATTTGTAAAATTATATTTACATCCATTATATATTTTAAACTGATATTACTTAAATCAATATAAAAGTTTCAAAACATGTGAAATATAATTCTTATTAAAAAATTAAAAGTAACCTAAATTTGAGGTTAAAATTTTAAATAAAGATACATATTTATTATAAATGTGTAGACATTGACTATATGATAATTAAATATTAATGTAATTGAGATATAAATTTGTTTGTTTTAAATTATAAATTGACATGATAATTAATTATAATAATTAATTAGTAAGATGCAAAACAATATGAGTATATGATTACAATGTGAAACTTTTAAACTATATATTATATTAAAATAAAACATATCATAATATATTGTAACTTATTAACTAATAATGATTATTTTACAATGTTAATAATAATGATAATAAAAAACTAATAATCATAATATATTGTTAATAATTATATTATAATTATAATACAAATTATAATAATTACTAAAAATGAATAACTTTCATAGCTTTTAACAAATAGTTTTAGACAAAATAACATTATTGTCCTTACTTTCAAAGAGAAAGGAGAATAAGAACTACTTTTTTTCTCAAGTATTCTCAGCTCACTTTCTCATTAAATGGACATTCTACCTTTTTGGTTACACTCCATAATCACTTACTAAGAAAAAGATCCTTAGTATAATAAAAAACAGAAAATCTTTTGTTATCCAAGTTATACTTATCTACTGTATAAGAAATCAATTTTTAAACAAATTTTTAATATACATGCAGTTATTTTCATCTAATTGTACATTTCATCAAATTGTATCTTATTATTTTATTTAAGAAACAAATTACAAAATATTTCTGCTTTCCTCGCCTTTTACCACATGTCTATTCTAGATTCCTGTTTTCTCAAGTTCCTTTCTGACCAATTCATCATTTCTATGTTACTCCTTTTCCAACCAGTTATCTACAGTCATGACATTCCCTCACCCCATAAAGATCTCATTTTTTTATCTCATTTATTCTTCTTATAACAAAAAAATAATAATTAACATTTGACAATAATGCATTTTTATCCTATCTTAACATTTGACAATAATAATTAACATTTGACAATAATGCATTTGACATTTTTATAATCTCAATTTGCCTATCTTACTAGATTTTAGTTTTTGTGTACTTGTGATTTTATCCTCTACAATTTGCAACAACAATGCAATCTTCTACAAAAATAAATTTAAAGTTATATTAAAGTACCGCTGTCTCATATGTTAGTATTAATTAATAGATTCAAACATTTTAAATTTCTATAAATATGATTTTATTTAATATTTTTATCTATGAAAGGTCTAATGATAATATTTAATGATTTTAATATTTAATATTTTTCTGCAACAAACTTATGAGTCAAGAACTCAGACAAAGTTTAAATTTATGAACTTTTTGAAATCGTTTAGTAAAAATATAGATTCTAACAACTTTATATGAGATTTTGTGGATGTTTATGACATGAATAGTTAGAAAAGTTTTTGAAATTATGTTGTTTTAAGTTAAACTTGTTATAGGTTAAATATGGATTATAATATTTCTTAAAAGGCTTAATACCTCTTTTGGTTCCTCAAAAAAGGGGTTATGTTCAAAATGGTCCTACCTCTTTTAAAAAGTAACAAATGATTTCAACTTTTGAAAAACGGGTCAAGTTAATCCTTTTTGCTAACGGCGTCAAAAATTAAATTATGCAACTGCCCCCTGGACAAAACTTAATGACATGTGCAGTTTATCTTATTGTGTGGCAGTTGCGTGACAGTAAGGTTAAAATTGTGACAAAAAAAATAGATTACCTAGCAATGTTTTGACAGAGGTTAAAAAAAGAGGGGTCGAGATTTAGGTTCGTCGAAATACTGGGTCTTCTGGGTTTGGTATTTTTCGATGCAAACCGCCTAGTTGTTTCTTCTAGGTCTCCACCGTCATTCTCTCTTCCACAATCATGACGCCTCAACGCTGCAAGGGGCTCTTTCATGGCGTCTACCACAAGCAACGCCTTCTGATTCCAATCCCAAATCCTAATGACCCCGAAACATTTCATTGGGATTCCAATTTCAAGTTTCAAGCTCTTATAAAAAAAATTAGGTTTTTGTTAAAGTTTCATTTGATTCTAATCTTGGAATCCTGTTTTCGCCCAAATCGCATTTCGAACCCTGCTAAGATTGTGTCCTTTCAAGCATCTATGAGGTTTATCTACACAAATTATTGTTTGTTTTAGTGCAATTGTGGTTGTTCTAGAGTACTTCTACTCAAGTTCAAGCAGAAGCAGATGACAGTTTGAATCCCAGTGATAAACTGAATTTCTCTTCACCACTTCTATATTCTATGCATCACAAATATTTTATGGACTTTTCTTTGGCTAAAATTGGGAGTGAAATTTTATGTTCCTTGGTAATCAAAAGTGAACATAACGAAACTATATGGAAAGGTAATAAAGAACAATATGTAGACTATACTCACGCATTTCTCTCCCTGAACTTCTTTGGCATGCTGAAAATAGAATCTGGATCTAAGAAAAACCCAATTATTCTCTATTCTCGTCCTGGATCTAAGAAAATAGAATATGGATCGCGTTCTCCCAAATCGCATTTTGAACCCTCCTCCGGTTTTGTTCATACTCTTTGCCAAGGATCTTCGACCAGTCCGGCACGTTCACCAGCAGTGATCCCGAAGCACCGACATGGCCGACGGTAGTAGAGAAGTTACTGTGGAATCTCGAGGAGTGTACAGATTTGCATAATTCCGAAGAGTTAGCGTTTGCAGAGTTGTAGAGATCAGATTCATCGAATTCAAAGTGGAATCGGAGAGTGAATCTTTGCTCTACCTCAGATGCATCCCAACATCATCCACGCATCCCAGCACTCTTTCCTCACCTCAGGCACCAACTACGACGAACCCAAACTCTAGTGCCACGCAACTGCACCGTTTAATTTTTGATGTCGTTAGCAAAAATGATTAAATTGACCCGTTTTTTCAAAAATTTGGATCATTTGTTACTTTTTAAAAAAGGTAAGATCATTTTGAACACAACCCCTCTTTCGAGGGACCAAAAGAGGTATTAAACCTTCTTAAAAATGTTACCAAAACATAAAATGACATTATTTTGTTAAAAATGTAGCAAAATGATATCACTTTGACTTAATTTAATTTCATTTTAATACTTAATAATATTCATCTCAACAATAAAGGTTAATATACCTAATGGTTTGTATAACAATGTTTTGTTAAGCTAAAAATGGAATAGCAGTTGATGAGATAGTTAATAAGGATAAAATAGTCATTTAAGAAACGGTACGGGTGCAGCTAGAAATTAGGAAGGTTCAGGAAGAAGAAAAAGCATGTTTTGAGTTCTTATATGAGAGGCCCAAGCCCAAATTATAATAACGTGGGACAACATTAGTGATCAGATTTAGGGTGTTACTCCCTCCACCACCACATTTTCTCCCTTCACCTCCCCAATTCTATTACATATTTTTTTAATTACAAAACTAACCTTTTATAATTACAAAAATAACCTTTTTTATTTTTTAATCCTAATTATTTATTTTAACCCTAAAATCTATCTTTCTACCCCTTCTCACCCACCTCCCAACCTTCTCAGATTCTCACCCAAACTCCATCACATTCGTCTCTCATCTTTCATTTTTCCTCCATATCCGTTTTCTTCCTCCTTCAGCGGTTCGGCAGTGTATACTAATAACAATAAAGATCCTCAAAAATACATTATTAAAATACATCAAAATATATTCAAAAATAATATATCAAAAAATATAAATTATATTATTTAAATATCTTCAAAATTAATATAAAAAAACTATAAAATATAAACCGTATAATCTTTAAACAGATGTCAACATCCGTTTAAGGGGAAAACGGATGTCGACATCCGTTTAAGGGGAAAACGGATGTCGACATCCGTTTAAGGGAAAACGGATGTCGACATTCGTTTTCCCTTAAACGGATGTTGACATCCGTTGACGGATGCTCACATCCGTTTAAAGATTATAGGGTTTATATTTTAGGGTTTATATTTTAGGGTTTTATTACGCACCTTCATGCCTCTCAACCTCTCACGCCTCTGAACCAGCACCTTGAAGCACCACCACACTCACGGCTGAAGATGAATTGCTTTCCCCACTTTCAATCTTACTAAACACAAAGTTCACCATACTCTCACGTCACAATTCTATAAAAGAGAAGAAGAAGTGGAACATAAGAGACAACCCAAGGACAGTGGAACGTAAGAGACAACCTGGGAAAAATAATAAAGAGAAAGAGGAAAGAATAATAAAGAGAATGAATGTCCACGTGAGATTTTAAATAATATTAACCCTAAAATTTTAGTAAGGGTAAAATAGGAATGAAAAAATAGAGAAAAGGATAAAAGGGGAATGGGGTGGTGGAGGGAGCAAGTTGTGGTGGTGGAGGGAGTAACACCCTCATATTTATGATAAGTAAAATATATGAAAAAAAAAACATATTAACTCTGGACAATTTGGAACTAAATTAGTATATATTTAATATCGGGACAATTTTTTCCTGCACTCCCATATTTTCTTATTGCATCATCTTCTTCATTTTCATCTTCCACTGAATCTTCATACTTTCCTTCACCTCCACCTTATCTTGAATGTAATTTTGCATTACGTTTGTACAATCTATAATGTAATTTGCATTCTAGATTGGTTTTCCAATTTGCAATATGATTGTGTAATTCAAAATGTAAATTTATACTATAAATTATACAATTTGAATGTAATTTTGCATTATGAATTGTAATTTTGTATTACAAATTATATAATCTATAATATAATTTTGCATTATAAGTTGTATATGTAATTTTTCATTATAAGTTGTATAATCTTGAATGTAATTTTTCATTACGAATTATACAATCTAGAATGTAATTTGTATTCAAGATTGCCTTCTAAATTTGTAATATGAATTTTACAATTCAAAATGTAAATTTACGTTATAGATTGAATAATTCAAATATAATTTCATATTAATGATTGTACAATCTAAAATATGATTTTGCATTACAAATTGTACAATATAAAATGTAATTTACATTTCTAATTAGCTTCTAAATTTGCATTACAAGTTATACAATCCATGATATTATTTGATTGTATAATCTCAAACATAATTTACGTTAAAGAATATACAATCTAAGAGGTAATTTACATTACGAATTTTACAATCTGAAATATAATTTATATTAAGAATTGTCCAGAATGAGATTATATAATTTGAAATATTTATGGATTGCACAATCCAAAACTATAATTTGAAGTGGGATATAATTAGAATTTTAAAAAATATGGGTTGTAGAAAAAAAAATGAGGTGCAGGAATAAATTCGCGAGAACAAATTGTCTTACTCTGTGATCTTAGAATAAAAAGCAGAACAATTGACGATTTGGTAGTTATTTTTTATTTTATTAAATATAGAAGTTTTGATTGGGTGTATTATGTAAGAACAGTGTTCGTATAAGAATTGGTCTGAAAATTATGAGCGATTAAAACTAAATGTAAGAATGTTATGATGATTGAGTGTGGTAAAGAGTGAAGAATATTCTGGCTCAATAATGAACCATAACGGATATGACTGTTTCTTGTAGGTGTTCTACCATGCACTCAGGGCAATAGGCTGTTTGAAAATACCTGGAATTGAAGTGGAATTGTAGGAACGTGTGAAAGAGAATGATAGATCAAATTGAGCCCTTAAAGATCAACACAATAATATAGCTGAAAAGATGTTTCAACCACAAATTGAACAACAGGAGATGATTGCTATCAATTCAGACGAAAAGATACAGTGGACAAAATAATAATGTAGCAGAATAGATGTTTTAACAAGAAAGTGTAACAATCTCAGTCAGAGTATTTCATTTCCCACTCAAAGGATGAATCCATTTCCCTTCACATCTTCCACACAGTGCCCATTACTTTTAATCTCCTGCTGAGTAGCTTCCTCCTTGTCCTTTTCTTCATTCAACCCTCCATCATCTGATTCTTTTTCTTCTGCTTCTTCTGCCAACTTCCTCTCAAGAGCTTGAATCAAACTCAGCAAGCAAGTCTCTACATCTTCGTTGACACACTTGGGCATGAGATTTTCAGCAACATCAGCAGGAGTGACAGTGGTGACTTCCAACAAATTGGCAATCCTTGAAAACAAATGGTGTGAGTCAACATCCAAGTAGTTCTTGGCAAGCACCTTGAATGCTTCAAAGCGGCAATAGGACAATTCGATGTGCTTGTCCATCCTACCTGTCCTAATAAGAGCAGGATCAAGCTTGTCCACAAAGTTGGTTGTGAAAATGATGATCCTCTCTCCCCCACATGCTGACCAAATACCATCAATAAAATTCAACAAACCAGACAGAGTTACCTTACTACTCCTGTTACTCTCCTCTTCTTCCTTTTTATTAGGATCTTTTGCTTCCTCTTCCTCACTCCTTTCCTTCCTCGTGTTCCTCTGCCCAGTCAGATCAAGCGAGCAATCAATGTCTTCCACAACTATAATAGCCTTACTAGAAGTTTCAATCAACAACTTCCTCAACTCAGTGTTGTCCTTCACTGCTGTCAGCTCAAGATCGTACACATCATAGTTCATGAAATTAGCCATTGCAGCTATCATAGTAGACTTACCAGTCCCAGGAGGACCATACAGCAAATAGCCCCGCTTCCAAGCCTTCCCAATCTTGGCATAGTAATCCTTCCCATTCCTGAACTTAACAAGGTCGTTGATGATCTCTTCCTTCTTCCCACGCTCCATTGCAAGAGTCTCGAACGTTGCAGGGTGCTCGAACACTATGTGGCTCCACTTTGACTGTTTGTAACCATACCAACCACTGCTAGGATTGTTGGTGTACAACTTCCTTTGCCTGTTTCTCAGGGCAATTTCCTTCCCCTCTTCCAACACGTGTTTGATGTAAGCCACAGTGATGAGATCCCTATGCTTTTTATGGAAAGTTAGCTTGAAATACCTCTTACCATCCAGGGGAGAGTAATAAGAGAAAGAATACGCATGAGGGTTAGAAGCAGTCTTGCTGGCAGCCCACCAAAGCTTAACTCCTTGGAACTCGTCGGTAACCTCTTCATCATCATCCATGCTAAGCACCAAAGGGTTCTGGCTATCTTTCACAACTTCAGCTTTCAGCCTTTTGGCGAGTTGGGAAGAGTTCTCACTGAGGTAAGTTTGGATGGCAGTGTAAGCCTCACTGCGTTTGAGCCTCTCACCAGAGAACTCAGGGAAGGTGATTTGCACATAAGGGTACAAGAAATTGACAAGTTTCTGAGTGTGGATTTGTAGAGTGTCACGAAGTGCAGCCGGGAAAAAACGCTCTACCATGGCATACACAAACATGATTGTGGCCATCAATGAGCCCATTTGCGTCCATAGTTCCGCCATGAAAAACACAGTAGAGAAAGAGACTAACAGGAATGTGTATGTGTTGAGTTATTTTAGTTGGGTAGGGATGGATGGAGATTATATAAGAAGTAGAAAAGGGTGTTTTGTTTTTGGGGTGGTCCAAGAGAATCTAAGTTGAAGTGGAAGAGGTCGGTGGCAGTGGCAGTGGCATAGTAAAGCTTTTGTTGGAAGCGAATCCATTTGACAGTGAGTGATGTTTGGCAAGTCGAAACCACTTTGTGTGTGATGGAGTGGAGAAGATGGTCCCTCCATGGTTTGTCAGGTACGATGGAAGCTAAGGCATGTTTGGATGAGATGAAACTTAATGGAAAAATTAGAATAATAATAATAATAATACACTTCTCCTCTCCAAGTAATAAAGCTAAGCCGACATTCGCAACTTGCCACCACTCATCTTCCTCTTAACCCAACCATACATCTTTTCATCATCATCTCAATCCACCTTTTCTTCTCTCCTTTGCAAAACTCTATTCACAAACTCAATTCAAATTAAACTCCCCGTTTCCTTTTATCTTTATTTTGCATTCCTTCATTCCAGTGGATAAGATCATTTTATAATAATAAATAAAATCACTAGTGTATTGTATTAAAATATTGTTAAAAAATTAATATTTTTTTCTTTTATAATATATAAATAGATGTAAGTTTAGATATTGATTAGGATTAAATTAATTTTTTAACATGGTGTCAAACCTTATAATAACAAATCTCACTATAAAAATCTTTGTATTGGTTAAAGTAAAAAATAAAAGAAATAAACATATGAGAAATTAAAGACTTTATAAAAAAGTACATTTTTTTAGAAATGTAAAAACTAAAACAGTCAAAAGAAAAATAAAATTATAATTTAAATTTGTCAAAATGCAAATTTTCTTGACTTTTGATACTTATTGAAAACATTTTTTTGTTGTTAGGTATCATATATATTCTTTTCTATCACTTGTTATTCGGGTATTAAGCCAATGGAGCTTTTAAATTTCAACAAAACAGTTTCCTTTATCATTTTCGTAAAATTATTCTCGTTTCTTAGCTTTTTATATTGATTAATAAACTCTTTTTTTTTATATCAAAAGAGAGACACTGCCACCTAATTTTTAAAATGCTTGGCACAATTTAAATATTTTGAATATAATAAATCTTCGTTTCTATAGGTAATTATTTTAAAGTTGTCGACATGGATTGAATCATCTCGCATTGAAATAGTAAAAAAAATAGTAAAACTTAGAGAATCTAATATAAATTCGTGGTTGATTAGATTGCTCACCAATCCATTTAACTAGTATATCATCTCATTTACCTCTTAGGTTAGTCCATCAATTTCACAACACACACTCAACAAAAAATAACCCTCACAATACAACAACGTTCCAAGCTGAACTCTCTCATCTCATCTTACCTCGACTCTAAATTTGTTACTTTATTGATACTGTCACTAAAGCTTGAGAACTTTCACTTCAAGAAATTCAAAACATAGAGTTCATACAAATTTTGTCCATTTTGCTTAGGGTTGGAATGTCATCACTTTAAACAATAATGTGAGTCACTTTAAGATAATTTAATCGATGATACTTAAACTAAAATATATTTAATTTGTTTTACTTCAACCGACAACACTCAAAGAAAAATACTTTAGGCAATTAAGTAATGATATTTTAAAAGTTAGTGTTCATTTGAACCATTACATGTGAACTTGTCCTCTTATATATTTTGATTGAGTTTAATTTAAAAGAAATTTAATTTTTTTTAAATTCATGTTAATGTAAGTTTATTGGAAATATTAATTAAAATGCTATATAATGTTTTGTAATATTTAATTTTGGAATGTATTTTGAATATGTTTCGTATAGTTGAATGTGTTAATTACGTAATATTTGAAAGACATGAGTAAAATAATATAGAAAAATATGCACACAAACATTTAAATGAATTTAATTAAATAAATAATTATTTTTTCATGTTTCATGGATCGAAGTTATAAATTTATTAAGTTTTGATTATTCGAATGTTTGTCTCCATCACCGTTTGTCTTTCATTCTGTTCGACCAAACTAGAAAAGGTTACATGTAGAAAGATGTCAAAGTCAACAAAGATTTGACAAGCTTAACAATAAATACGTAATAAATTCAATCACTTCAAACATGTATTTATAGATTTTAAAATAAGTTTTATATCATCATCAACCTAATCACACAGTCCAACTCATAATG